TGTGACAATAGAATTGATTATAAAAAATCAAATTTTAGATACAAATTTAATTTATGATAAAAAAATAAGTTTTTAAGCAATTTTCCATCACAAAATATCTATTTTCTTGTAGTGTAAATATTTCAAATGAATCAATAGTTTTTGAAATAACTCTAGTGCAACATTTTATTCTCTATTAAGATATATATATATATATATATATACATTCTTTCTTTGTTTAGTTTGTGAAAAAGATTTTTGGGATCTCATAGGTTCATTAATTCATTAATGTGTATAAACTATATAAAAAGTAAAATATATGTATTACACTTATATGCAGGGTACTCCATTTATTAACTGTTAAGTGGAAAAATGCCACATCGAGTATAAAAATAAAAAGCTTGCGGGTTAAATATAAGGAATACCACTCCACATATTGTCAATTAGTTTTAGGTTGAATATAAGTCTTGTGTTGAGCTCACATGCACAATTTCACATTAACTAAAGCATGAACAAAGTTGTTTTTATTGACAATCCTTGGTTAAAACAAGGTAGCCGTTTGATTATCAAAATTAGACGTTAAGGATTTCATTTGAAGAAGAACCATGATATTTGGCTGGACAACTTGAAAGTTTTGGTAGAGATTCTATTTCATTTTCCATCTCCAATTCACAATTCCGTAGCTCTAATAGAGAAATAGCTGGAAAAGGCTTCAAGAGTGGTCTTTGGCAAGCAACTAATTGTTGAGACACAAATTGCATTGTTGGCCTGGACTTGGGTTTTGCACGCAAGCAAGCCAATGCAATTGTAGCAGCAATTATAATATTCTGAGCAAGATTTTTACTTCTTGGAGGCAATAAACGTGTATCTAATGTCACTTAGCATCACATTTTGCAAAGAAGATGGTGTTGATGGCAATGATGTCAATAGTTCCCCAGGATGCCTTCCCATCAATACTTCTAATACCACAACTCCAAAGCTATAAACATCACACTTCTCAGTCACATCAACTGTATAGGCTAGCTCTAAAAAGATAAAAAATACAATGTTTAACATGTCAATTCAACAATAGATAATGAAATAATATAATAGAAAAAGAACGGTGATGGAGAAAACCTGGTGCAATATAACCATAAGTGCCAGCAAGTACGGTATAATTGGATGAAGCAAGATCCAAAAACCTGGAATTTCCAAAATCGAAAACAAAAGCCTCCAATTTCAAGTTCAAAAGAATGTTGTTGCTCGATAAGTCCTGATGAAGGATGGGTGGGATGCAATCATGGTGAAGGTAAGACAAAGCATGTGCAGTGTTTTTTATGACATCCATTCTTTTGTTCCAATCGAACTCCATGGCTTCGTCATCATTTCTAAGCACACAAAACAAGCTTCCTCTTTCCATGTATTGATAGATCAAAATCATGCATTGCCAATGCAGGCAGAATCCATAAAGCTTCACAATGTTCCTATGTCATATTTCTGTCAACATCTTAACCTCATTTCTAAAACTTTTATCAAAAGCTGGCTCTTTTGCTTCCCTTTGGTGAAGCTTCTTCAAAGCAACTACTTCGCCATTTGGCAATTGTACTTTATAAACACTGCCATAGCTACCAGTACCAATGCAATATCTAATATTGAAATCTTCAGTTGGTTTAATTATGTCTTCATACGCAACCCTTCCATCAAAGTTCCATATTGAGAATATAACCCCATTTTTCATTGGACTTGGATCTACATCCCTAGTTTTAGCTCCATGTATCTTTCTAGAAAACAACAGAAGAGCCTGAGATATCAAGGTGAGACAAATGGTGGTGGGAAGAATAATTTTAACACACCTCAACACTTTGTTCCTAAGATGGTGATCATATAATCCCTTGTTTCCTATGAAAGACCATTTTGGAAAATGAAGCAATTTATTTGGGATTTGGCCTGAGAGATTATTGTAACTAAGATCCAAGACCTCCAAGTGTGGTAAATCCCCAAGTTGGGAAGGTATCTCTCCACTGATGGCATTGTGGCTGATATTAATTAATGAGAGGTTATAGAGATTACCAATCTGAAGGGGGATGCTTCCATTTAAGTAGTTGTTGCTCAATGATAAGACCATTAATTTCAAGCAATTCCCAAGCTGAATAGGGATGGCACCTGTGAAACATATCCTTGTTACTAGGTATTTCAGAAGGATTTGACTAATTATTTTGTTCTTACATTGATGTAGTACGAACAAATTGTTTAGATAGTCTAGATTGGTTAAAGGAATTGAAATAAATGAGTGAAAATCAGGGCAAACAAATTGTCAAAGGTTGCTCCCCTAAACGTATATGACAAATTGAATTCAAATGAAGAAGTATGCTAAAAGATCATCATACCTGTAAGGCAATTGTAGCTGAGATCCAAGGTCCATAAATTTGTTAAATTCTCAAGTTGGTAAGGTATCTCTCCAGTGATGAAGTTGTGATCAACATAGAATTTTGGAAGCATAGAAAGACTAACAATTTGGAAAGGGATGCTTCCAGTTAAGTTATTGTTGCTAAATGACAACACCATTAAACTGGAGCAGTCCCCAATCTGAAATGGGATGGAACCATTGATTTGGTTTGAATCAAGACATAATATCTTCAACTTGGATAAAGGACCCAAAGTTGGAGGTAGCGGACCAATAAGTTGGTTTTTGTCCATACGTAGAAGGCTGAGCTTCTTCATATTTCCTATCTCTGAGGGGATGGAACCATTGATTTGATTTACCTGAAGAACTAAGTGCTTCAACCTATACAAAAGACCCAAAGTTGGAGGCAGCGGACTGTTAAGTTGGTTTCTCCCCATACGTAGAGATATGAGATTCTTCATATTTCCAATTTCTAGTGGGATGGGGCCACTTATTTGATTTGCCCGAAGATTTAGGTACTTCAACTTGGAGAAAAGCCCCAAAGATGGAGGTAATGGACCGGCGAGCTGGTTTCTATCTATACGTAGAAAGCTGAGATTCTTCATATTTCCAAGTTCTTGAGGGATGGAACCGATGAGATCATTAGAGCCAAGGTTAAGATATGCCAAATTGATCAATTCACTCAAGTCAGAAGGTATTGGACCTGCAAGCATGTTTGAGGATATATATATAGTTACATAATAACCAATTTGCCTAATTGACCTGCAGTGGAAGGAACTTACCTGAAATAGAGTTGCTGGACAGATTCAAAGTAACCAAATTATTTAGCTTCCCAATTTCTGCTGGTATAGGTCCACTAAGTTGGGTTGCTCCCAAGGGACAGCGATCTAAGTTTCGATAGATGACCCAAACTAGGAGGAATGCTTCCTTTAAGTCCTTGATTACTAAGATCAAGCCGAATGAGATTGGGGAAGGCAGAAAAGTTCAACTTTGTAAATCTTTCACCCACAGTTAAATAATCTGGAGGGCATATATCGGTGACGGTTCCATCATTGTTGCACGTTACCCCAGCCCAACCACAATGTTCAGCAGTGTTGCTGAGATAGTCATCCCACCACCCACTTTCCAACAATGCCTGAGCTTCTGATTCTTGCGACACTGCTGCGGCTGCTAACGTTAATTTGGCTCCTGTAAGAAGTGTAACCCATGCCACTGCTGCCACAATGGAAGCTGTAAGATTAGAGGATGAGGAGGTCATGTTTAAGCTTATTTTGTATAATGTGTTTCTTATCTTATTTGCCTTGTGAATTTATCATGCGGTTCCGTCCTTTTTTTTTTTTTTTGTATACTACTTATTTTGATTACACGTTACGTCTTATCCTTGATTTCCGAGGAATTGTGTAAAGGGGAATCCTCTGCGCTTCGGTATTATAAAGCCAAAAGACGAAAAAATAAGTTTTTGCGGTGAACAATTTTTTTTATTTAGAAGAACTGTTTTTATAATATATTTGTAGGTTAACCATGCAATAAATATGGTACTTTTTTAATTTTAAATTATATAGCGGGAGTAACTTTGTTTTAATCATTAATTCACTACATTTATATGTTATATGATTTAAATTTAAATTTTTTTTAATAGAAAGAAATTAATAAATTATCATTAAATTTTTTAAATTATTAGTATTTTTTATTAATTTATATAAAAAAATATAAATATTAATTTTGATTTAATCAACATTGTATTTAAAAGAATTGTCTTTATAACATGTCTCTAGATTTATGCACTAAACAATAGAAAATTAATTAAAATAAATATTAATTTTTTTATTTTTATGTAAATTAATTAAAAATATAAATTTATTACATTTTTAACTTTAAAAAAAAATTAGACAAACCTTAGCAGTGTTGACAAATATGGTAAATTAAGTCATTTGTGGGAACAACTTTCACTTTTTTTCAACCTTGCTTTTTTGAATGATATACCGTTACAAACCGTGTCGATAATGGTCTAATGTCGGATAGAATTTCCAAGGTTAGTTTTTAAGCAATTTCGGCCTAGGTACCCTATGCTATTCCCTTCTAAATTTCAGTTAAATAATAATAATAATAATAATAAGCTAGAAAAAAACGTTTTGGAGACTCGGAGCTGCGTTCATACTTCAAACCTGATTAGTTTCTGCCGTAATTGCAACTCAATACACTGGATACTTTTGACAAAAAAAAAAATTTAATTTAGAGGTAACTTTCATGTATAAATTTTTTATATAACTTTATATGTTATTATTTAATAATTAATTTTTTTATTAATATTTGTGATATTATATAAATTTATTTATTTAATATCATATAAAAATTATAAAAATAAATTATCTAAATATCATTAATTACCGTTATTGACCCAAGTTAGGGTCAAGACTATCCTGTCATTTAAAAGAATAGTACACATTGGGCAAATCGGATCTTCTTTCTAGTGAGTAGTAGTGACCACGTTTTCCTTTCTTAGAACCCAAAGTCTTTCTAATCAGTAGTAGTGACTTCGTTTTCCTTTCTTCGTAGAAAAGTAAACCCAAAGTCTTTTCAATGAGTAGTAATTTTTTTTTATAGTAAGAAATGGTTATTGTTAGTGTTAATATCTATTGGAGTTTGGGAAGGATCGAATAGTTGAAGGAAGTGCAGTCCACTTGCTACCTAAGGGTAGCGTGGCCACCACTGGGCCACGCGGGGTCTGCTTCAATGAGTAGTAATGATTACGTTTTCCATTATTATAACGCAAAGTTTTTCCAATGAGTAGTACTGACTTCGTTTTCCTCTCCTAGAAAAGTAAACTCAGATGTTTCGTATGCCTAGCCCAATTCGTTTTACCATTGGGTTAGTGGGAACAACGTGTAGAAGGTTTATGGCTTGACTCCCAGGTAACCCTTACCCATTCCCCTAGTTTAGAGGTTATGTATGTCAATTTGTCTTTGAAAAAAAAAAGAGTGTAGGAAGGGAGAAAGAAGGCAAAACTCTCCGTTAAGTCTCTGGATTTCCCCTATTTTAGTATGTAAGCCCTCAAATAAAAAAATATAAGTATAAGCCTTCAAACTGCTTATCAATGCAAATAGGCCCACGCCCTTGCCAACCATAAAAAAAAAAAAGCAAATAGGCCCTAGTTAACAGTGGGCGTTAGTTTCCTTAATTTAGTGTCATTAACATCAGATATATTTCCGTTGGTTTTCGCGAATTTATATGATGTGGCACGCAAAGAATTGATTAATTTGAACTTAGTACATAACCTTTTCAAAATTTACAAGGAATTAATCCCTTAACTTTTCGAAGTCTAACACCAACTTACAAAACAAATTCATATATAGTTTAAGGGGCTTTTGATTGTCTCTAATGAGTTATTTTCACTTTGGCAAGAGTATTAATCACTTCAGTAATATAATGATAATAATAAAATATTCTTTCATAGAACGATTGTAAACTAATTAAGTATTTAAATTAATTAATTTTAATTTTATTTAAAAATAAAAATTAAATAATTTGAATGAACTAATTAATTAAACTAGTAAAAAGAAAACTAAATTGATTTTAAGTAACAACTAATTAAGTATTTAAATTAATTAATTTTAATTTTATTTAAAAATAAAAATTAAATAATTTGAATGAACTAATTAATTAAACTAGTAAAAAGGATAAAACTAACTTAAGTGATACCAAGAATTAAAATTTTAAAGGATCTGATTTTACTGTATAATAAATTAATATAAGATTTATATTAATATACTTTTAAGACTTTTACAATTCATATGACAATGATATTTCCTAACCCATTTAATATACTTTCTCAAATTATATCATATATGTCTTTATCTATTAACCCATTATATCTCTATGTGAATTTAAATAGATAAAAATGTATTATATTATGTGAAACTCCTTAAGTTATGTAAAACTTTCATGTCCTCTTACCACTAATGTTACATGAATTACATCAATCTTTGACTTTTGTTCAATTTATAATATATAT